CTTTCAAATATATTTTAGATAGTTATGATTTTTGGGGTGAGTTTTTTGATAAAATCATAACTATCTAAAATATATTTGAAAGTCACATAAATTTGTTCCGTTTTTAGTGCTGATTCAGAATATGCTATTAGTTTTAATATAGTCTATATTTTTCCAACTGATATCCCCTAAAAACTAGTGAAGCAGTACCAATTGATTTCACTTCAGGGATCCCTATTTTCAGTCAAAATGCATCTACTCAATGATAAGAATATTCACAAATACGAGTTCTACAATTCTAGAATACTTTCCACCCGATTATCGCTTGAAAATAAAAATCATTTATTCCTTTAGTTTTGCTTTATTTTCTAAAGATAAATGAGTCCTTTATCATTTACTTTCTCAAGATAAATGATTCATTTATCTTTATCCTTTAGTATAGAGGAAAATAAAGATAGAGGGTCGCCCCTATTCACATCGAATATCTTCAAGCTCGTTTTTTGTTTTTTTCCGTCTATTCAAATGGAATATGTCAGACCTGTTTTTCGTTTTGATAACGATTGTTTTTTTTTGTTTTGTTCCATATATTCAAATGGAATATAATCAAACTTGTTTTTCGTTTTGATTACGACTGTTTCGATTGACTTGTTCCTTTGTCTTGGAGAGGAGTATTATCAGTTCGTTTAGTAAATAATAAGGGAGCAGAAGTATTTTTTGTTGCGTAAGTAAAAATTCTGAATGATGTTACTCAGTGAATCCTGTTGAAATCTTGAGAATATGCTTTCTGAAAATTAAAAAGAACTCTACTGTCTCTCGTTGTGAATCGACATTAGTGGAGGTCATCGATGGTATGTTGTTATGTGTCTAATATCGATCTCAAAGGATTACAATTCGTTTGAATCGCCTGTTTGCTGATTTTCAGTCGATTAGAAACAGAAAAAATCAACTGAAATTGGTTGGAATCAGTGGCATTCGGAAACAACCGTTGCCTCGATTATAACCGATTTCAGCTAATTAAAATCGATTCTGAATAAATTAAAAATCGATTCTGAATAAATTAAAAATCGATTATAATCATACACCTTTTAGTCGATTACTAATTGATTAGGAATTGATTACAATGAGTCTTAATCAATAATAATCGATTAGAGCAGCGGAATAACTGTTTTTTCTGAATATAATCGATTGCGACTAATTATAACCGATTTTCAATCGATTATGAATCGATTAAAAGGTGTATGATTATAATCGATTTTTAATCAAAACGGTAATCGATTTTAATCTGATTTTACCCCTACTTTTTTCACGTGGGATGCACGTCCTTGTCGAAGTAAATATATAAGAGAAGAAATTTGTATCAAAAGTGATTCTCGATGTTGTTCTTGTTGTCTTTTGGTTCTTGATATTAATTGTGCAATTACAGTTGGTTTTGTTTGTTGATTAATAGCATATATTGAATCAGAATGAATTTTACTTGATTCATGATATTTAAATCTTTCTCTTGCATTCTTCCAATCACAAAAACCATCTGTTATAAAACTTCTATAAGCAGGATTGAATTTCGTTTTATTTGGATGAATTTCACGTTCAAATGCATCTCGACATGTATGACAAAATACTTTTTTTTAACCTTAAATAACAAAACACATTTTCAGTCAAATTTTGAATGTGATTGTATTTGTTTGATATAAAACCTCACTTTACAAAAAGGTTAGCCAAGAATGATCCATAAACCACCATTTTTGGCATGACCGTTTGCCGATTGTTGTAAAGGCTAGTTCATCATCTGTAACAGGATGATATGATTTAGACGAGTTACAATAATGCATATCAGATTTGGACGAAACTATTTCGATTTGAGTAGATCGATTAGATAAAGATAAATTTGTTCTTTGTTGTGGTGATACTTGTTTATTTGTATTCGGTGATTTATCAAAATTACCAAAAAATTCAGATTCGTTTTCAGATTCATCATAATTTTCCGGTAAATCATTAATATTGGACGGATTTAAAAGATCAACAAGAGGTGCATTTTGAATTAAAGAAGATGCGTCATGGGTTTTTATCTTCAGAAATTGTTGAAACTTCAGTTAACTCAATTTCTTCTGTTGAAAACAATGTTGTATTTTTTATTTTTTTAGTAAAAAAATCAAGAATTGATCCCTCACGTTTTGATGCCATTACTGTTTATAATCTAAAATATTGATTTTATGATTATGACCGAAAGAATGTACCATTTATCTGCTTAATATTTATATTAATATGAAATCACTTTTTTTCAACAAGAATAATACTTAGGTCGTACAAAAAGTTCCCAGATTATTAAAAAAAATATAAAGACAAAGAGAAAGTTCGAGTTTTATTTTATTAAATGTTCAAAATAGTCACCATGATTATTTATACAAAGTTCCATCCTCTCTAATAGTTTGTCAAAAGTTTTTTTAAATTCTTCTTCTGGAATATTTTTTATTAGCTTGGAAAC